GATCTCAAGCTCAACTGAACGAACCAGGTTCTGTACTCATTTCAAAGCATTGTAACTGCTAGTGATGAACGTGTTACTCTGTTGAGTAATGAATATGTTCTCTGCATATTATGATGAAGTGTTCCTGATGATTTATGATGAAGAGTTCTGATGAGTAGAGAAGAGTTCTGATGAGTATGAGAAGTGTTTCTGATGAGTAATGAGAAGAGTTCTCTGATGAGTATGATGAATTGTCTCTGATGAGTATGATGAAGGTTCCTATGATATGATGAAGAGTCTCTGATGATATGAGAAGTTTCTACTGCAGATATGATGAAGAGTTCTCTGTGAGTATGATGAAGTGTTCTCTGATGAGTATGCATGAAGATTTCTTGATGAGTTATGATGAGAGTTTCTCTGATGATATGATGAAGTTGTTCATCTGATGAGTATGATGAAGAGTTCTCTGATGAGTAATGAAGTGTTCTCTGATAGTTGATGAAGAGTTCTCTGATAGTATATGAAGAGTTCTCTGATGAGTATGATGAATGTTCTCAGATGAGTATGAGAAGTGTTCCTCTGATGATTGATGAAGTGTTCTCGTGGTATGATGAAGTGTTCTCTGATGAGTATGATGAAGTGTTCTCTGATGAGTATGATGAAGTGTTCTCTGATGAGTATGATGAAGAGTTCTCTGATGAGTATGATGAAGTGTTCTCTGATGAGTATGATGAAGAGTTCTCTGATGAGTATGATGAAGAGTTCTCTGATGAGTATGATGAAGTGTTCTCTGATGAGTATGATGAAGTGTTCTCTGATGAGTATGATGAAGTGTTCTCTGATGAGTATGATGAAGTGTTCTCTGATGAGTATGATGAAGTGTTCTCTGATGAGTATGATGAAGAGTTCTCTGATGATCATGATCAAGTGTTCTCTGATGATCATTATGAAGTGTTCTCTGATGAGTATGATGAAGTGTTCTCTGATGAGTATGATGAAGTGTTCTCTGATGAGATGATGAAGTGTTCTCGATGATCATGATCAAGTGTTCTCTGATGATCATTATGAAGTGTTCTCTGATGAGTATGATGAAGTGTTCTCTGATGAGCATGATCAAGTGTTCTCTGATGAGCATGATCAAGTGTTCTCTGATGAGTATGATGAAGTGTTCTCTGATGAGTATGATGAAGTGTTCTCTGATGATCATGATCAAGTGTTCTCTGATGATCATTATGAAGTGTTCTCTGATGAGTATGATGAAGTGTTCTCTGATGAGCATGATCAAGTGTTCTCTGATGAGTCATGATAAGTGTTCTCTGATGAGTATGATAAGTGTTCTCTGATGAGTATGATGAAGTGTTCTCTGATGAGTATGATGAAGGTTCTCTGATGAGTATGATGAAGTGTTCTCTGATGAGTATGATGAAGTGTTCTCTGATGAGCATGATGAAGTGTTCTCTGATGAGTATGATGAAGTGTTCTCTGATGAGTATGATGAAGAGTTCTCTGATGAGTATGATGAAGTGTTCTCTGATGAGTATGATGAAGTGTTCTCTGATGAGTATGATGAAGAGTTCTCTGATGAGTATGATGAAGTGTTCTCTGATGAGCATGATCAAGTGTTCTCTGATGAGCATGATCAAGTGTTCTCTGATGAGCATGATCAAGTGTTCTCTGATGAGCATGATCAAGTGTTCTCTGATGAGCATGATGAGCATGATGAGCATGATGAGCATGATGAGCATGGCGCTACGATGCAACTTCACCAATTAACTCTACTGAGTATTATTAAAAATATTAAATAGCAATATCTTTTTCCTTGATTTAAATTTGTGATCTTAATTTGAAATACACAGTTGATTTTCCTCCTGATCATATCAATATTATACAATGATCACTTACTGAAATACATGCGCTACGCCATAGGAAATGTTACCAATGTACTGTTTACTAAAATGGGTTAAATTTACTAGTTCTAAGTTTAAAAATAAATTAAAATAGGTCTCAAAGTATGGGAACACTTGAGGAGAGTGTTTACAGGCTGCTGGATGGTATTATCAGACTTGTTCTTAAGACTGTAACCCTTATATGCTCCAGAGGCAGACTAATATATGTTTAAAAATATCTAACCCAGACAGGCCTTGCAACAATGGGTTCAAGTTGGATATAGGAAAGCACTGGTTTAGTAATAGAGTTGTCGTAGAGTGGAACAAACTTCCGAGTATCACCAGTGAAGCTTAAACTTTGTGTCGCTTTAAAAATACATTAGACAAATACGTGAGTGGATGTGAGTGGGTGTGACTTGGGCTTTCCTAGCATGGGCCAGTAGACCTGCAGCAGTGCTCCTTCCTTCTTATATTCTTTACTAAATTAGTGTATGATCCGCAAGAGCCCTTCACCTGCGTCGAGGTTCATTACTCAGCAGGAGGGTTAATATCCCTGGTTATCTCAACAAAATTAAAGTAGTATAACCTATTTTTATAGGTGGTCTTGTCTCGTGAGAGTGAACGGCTTACACAAAGCCGACTTGTCTCGTGAGGGTGAACGGCTTACACAAAGCCGACAAGTTGATAAATTAGACACTTGTGCAACATTTGAGTTTCCAGAATGAAGATGACCTAATGTCGCACAAGTGACTCATTTATGGTCTTACCTTCAAGGGAAGACCATTTGTCCCCTGCAAGGGGAGTTCCTGGTCCTGATGAAGGCTCTTGATCCAAGAAATAGAAGTAGCCCATTCTCAAGGCGATGCATAACGCTTAGGGGTTAAGTATTTGTCAATAATAATAATAATAATAATAATAATAATAATAATAATAATAATAATAATAATAATAATAATAAAGTAATTTATCTCCACGTAATCATCATTGTGTCAACATCG